AAATCTCCTTTAGGACCATGTTAGGCTAGTGGCTTAGACGTTCGTTCCAATGTTGAGTTATTCTTGATATGTTGAGTTAGAGTAAATCTAATCCTTTGATTTATTCTTGACGTTTCAAGATTGATGATAACTGTCTGCAAGAACTTAGCAGGGCATAGTTTAGGCATTATCAATACTTAAAATTAAAATCACGTTCTTTCATTTTCAAGTAAGATTTAGATCAGTTTGGGTTTAGTTCTTGATCATGTTTAGAGGTAAGAGCCCTAGCCCTTGGAAAGACCTCACTAATTGGCTTTCGTTGTTATCTGACAATTATTTGATGTTGGAGATGGGTCAAGTCACTGATCTTTTTCTGGAAGAACAATGTGTGGGGACTGTGTCCCTTGTGGAGTTTGTCTAGGATGTATTTGTTGATATTACTGTTCAGTGACCTATGGCTATGGCTATGGCTATGGCTATAGCTATGGCTTTTACTGGAAAAACTGTTGCATGAAATACATTATTCAAGAGAGATGAGATGTATGTAACGACCCAAGCCCACCACTAGCAGATATTGTTCTCTTTTGGTTTTCCCTTTCGGGCTTCCCCTCAAGGCTTTTAAAATGCGTTTGCGAGGGAAAGGTTTCCACACTCTTATAAAGAATTATTCATTCTCCTCCCCAATCGATATGGGATCTCACAATCCACCCCTTCGGGGCCCAGGGTCCTTGCTGGCACACCGCCTTGTGTCCACCTCCTTTTGGGCTCAGTCTCCTTGCTGGCACGTCGTCCAGTGTCTGGCTCTAATACCATTTGTAACAGTCCAAGTCCACCGCTAGCAGATATTGTCTTCTCTAAGTTTTTCCTTTCGGGCTTCTCCTCAAGGTTTTTAAAACATGTCTGTTTAGGGAGAGGTTTCCACACCCTTATAAAGAATGCTTCGTTTTCCTCTCCAACCGAGGTGAGATCTCATAATTTATGAGTGGACAGATAACACATATTCAATTCAAGGGAAATACTCTGAAAAGAGGCAAATTAACCAAAGGACTCAAGGATCTCTGTAAAATTTGAATCCTTAAAGTAACAAAACAGGAATAGAGCGATTTATCAACTGATGAACATGTTATAGATATTCACACTTCCCTAATTTTGTTTATTTTATACGCAATGTACTTAGGATAGATACTCCGGCAGAACAAAGAAAAAGGAAGCTTTGCTGACGATGATTCTTCTATCAACCATTCCCAAGTGATTGAGAAATTGAGCCAAAGAAGAACGCCTGTTTTAGCTCAAGAGATTTTCTTGGAGCTGAAATCTGAAGATTTTCCATTAAACAACTCGACGTTGTCTTCTCTTATGGTACGCTACATAGATGGTGGTCTTCTCCTCCAAGCAGAAGCAATTTGGGAAGAAATGTTAAACAGTTGTTTCGTGCCTTCCGTTTTAGTAATTTCAAAGTTACTTAACACATACGGAAAGATGAGACGCTTCGATGATATAATTAAAGTTCTGGATCAGGTAAAGCTAAGGTATTTACACTTACTGCCTGAGGCATACTCATTAGCCATATCATGTTTTGGGAAGCATGGTCAATTGGAATTGATGGAAAACACTTTGAGGGAAATGGTTTCCAGTGGTGTTCCAGTAGGTTCCCGTACAGGAAATTCCTTTATTGTATACTACAGCATTTTTGGTTCTTTGATGGAGATGGAAACCGCCTATGGCCGCCTTAAAAGGTCTCGATTTCTAATTGAGAAGGAAGGCATCCTGGCAATGGCGTTTGCCTACATAAGGGAAAGAAAATTTTACAGATTAGGGGAATTCCTTAGGGATGTTGGTCTTAGAAGGAAAAACGTGGGGAATCTGTTATGGAATCTTCTACTTTTATCTTATGCTGCCAATTTCAAAATGAAAAGCTTGCAGCGTGAGTTTCTGGCAATGGTTGAAGCTGGATTTAATCCGGATATTACAACGTTTAATATTAGAGCTATGGCATTTTCAAGAATGGATTTGTTATGGGATCTTCATCTTAGCCTTGAACATATGAAACACGTGAAGATCGAACCCGATCTCGTGACGTACGGTTGTGTTGTTGATGCATATGTAAATAGAAGACTTGGAAGGAATTTGGAATTCGTTTTGAGCAAAATGAATCCAGATCAACCTCCAATATTATCAACAGATCTGTTTGTTTTTGAGGCATTGGGTAAAGGAGATTTCCACATGAGCTCTGAGGCGTTCATGCAGTTCCAGAAGCAGAAGAAATGGACTTACAGAGAGTTAATATCATTGTATCTGAAAAAGCAACACAGAAGAGATCAAGTCTTTTGGAATTACTAGCCCGGAACCGATTTTCATTAACAAGTCTCTTTGCCCGGCAACGGCTAGATAAGTAGCAGGGTCAAGGTAGCATTCCCCTCGGGTAGTTAGTCTATTTGGCCGGTGTGAGCGAGAAGTTTGGGATATGTAACATAAGCTCTTTGATGGAGTCATTTACTCACCGAATTTGAGTAATTTCGTGTTGCTTTTTTTTTTTTTAAGATTATATGGTAGATTGATTCCGAGTAAGTTTGAACATTTAGCAATGAAAGTTTTAAAACAATCTAATGTAAACATGTTAGACATAAATTTAAAATTTGATGAGCTTATTACAATCTTTTTATTAATAAAAAGTGTCTGAACATTTTCAAACTTTATTATTCACAAATAAAAAGAAAATTAATGCAATCATCTTTATATTTTCTACAATATTCCACCAAAGTTATAATTTCTCAAAAGTACCAAAAAGAAAAATTAAGCTTAAAGGTTAAAAATTATATTTCATAACAATATATTTTAATTTGGTTAATTTGGTTTCAATAAATTATTATTGTACCAAAACTTTATTTTACCCCCCCCCCCCCCCAAAAAAA